CACACATACACACACATACACACACATACACACACATACACACACATACACACACACACACATACACACACATACACACACATACACACACATACACACACATACACACACATACACACACATACACACACATACACACACATACACACACATACACACACATACACACACATACACACACATACACACACATACACACACATACACACACATACACACACATACACACACATACACACACATACACACACATACACACACATACACACACATACACACACATACACACATACATACACACACATGTGTGTGTACGTGTGCATATGCCAGCCTTCGTGCTCTTCCCCCCATGTGCGTCCGCAGGTACCTCCGCTTCGGATCAGGTGTGGGAGATCATGTACTGCCTGGGGCCGCAGCACCCGCACCAACACCCTGTCAACTGCAATCTGGGCGGCGGGCACCACACGCCCAAATCCAGCGACAGCAGCGACCGCGGCGACACTAGCAAGGACCGCTCACACACAGCCCAAAGCTGCACCAGTAGACATGGTTGTTTTCATGTGCCCGTCGGGGGCGCCAGCGGCAACACCCGGCGGCTGCACAGTCGACTTTCCCGCATGGACCCCCTCCTCTTTCAGCTAGTTGAGTCCTGCTTGCGGATTGACCCCGCACAGCGCCCTACGTGCTCCCAGCTACTGCAGATGCCGTACTTCTCAGATATGCCGTACGTGGTGCGCGGCACCGCGCTAGAAGCCTTCCTCCCGTCGCCATCATCACAACCGCAACCGCCACAACCGCCGCAACCACTGCCGTCAACAACCGTCTCCTCGGCTTCTACTGCACCTGCCGTTGCTGTTGCCGATCGCCAAGCACAAAGCAGCGGTATCAGTGTTAATCGCGCCACCTCAGTAACACGACCCCAGGCTGATGCTCTGCCTTCAGCAAGGGAAGCGGCCGCAGGGACGTCTTCACGGGATGATATTCTGAGGGCCGATATCCGCAGCCATGGCAGCGGTACCACTAGCAGCAGCAGGAGCGGCAGCATTACCTACATAGGCAGCAGCGTCGCCAGCAGCACCGCAACTGCAAGTAGCAGCAACCTCTTCGGAAGTCTCAGCAGGAGCATCAGCTACACCAGCATTTGCAACGGTGGAAGCGTCCATCCGGGCACTAGTGTGCGTTACTTGGGCAGCAGCGGCGCGGGCGGCCACAGTCAAAGCCACTCGTATTCGCACCCTAAGTCGAAGAACCTCAGCAAGGTATCGGTGGTGGTCTTGCCGGCACTGGCGGCTGCCGCCGAGGCCGAGGCAGCAGCAGTAGCAGCGGCAGCAGCGGCACTGCCGCCGGCACCCCCGACCCCGGTGGCCGACACATCCAGGGGTCGCAATGTCGGCGGCGGCCCACCTTCAACGCGCTCCTCAGACACCGCCGCCGGGGTGGTGGTGGCCCCCCGGACTATTGACTATGAGTTACGGCGGGGTGTGGGAAGTACCGCAGCCCGTGCACGTGCAGCGGCCGGCGGCGGTGGCAGAGATGCCAGTGGCCTCGCCAGGGAGTGTCTTAACTTCGTTGCTGCTCCAGCCGCAGCCGCCACCACAGCCGCCACCACAGCCGCCACCACAGCCGCCACCGCAGCCGCCACCGCAGCCGCCACCGCAGCCGCCACCGCAGCCGCCACCGCAGCCGCCACCGCAGCCGCCACTGCAGCTGATGATGAAAAGGGTATGGTTGTTGATGAAGCTGGTGGTCATGGAAGTCCGTCTCCGTGCCCGCGGGGTGTCTGGTCGTGCAGCGGTAACCCACCCACCCTGCGAGAGGAGCTCAACCGGGCTGCTCGCAGGGGGCCCAAGGGCCGTAGCATCTCTAAGGCCAAAGTGACGATGAAATCTATCGCACGTGCTGCGGCACAGGTGTTCAGACGGCCACTGTCTCTTCTGTCACAGAAGCAGTGCGAGGCAAAGAGGTGCATATCACTGCCGGCTTAACGAGTGTTATTAGGCTGTAAAGCAGGCCGTGGGTATGGAGATAATTATGTATGCCAGGAAGGGAAAAAGAAGGCCTTTTTGGAATTGGAATGGATGAGGGTGGGGGTTGGGAGCCTGGGGGTGAGGGTGCAATGGATCTGCCCGAATCCATCGGCGTGTGTGTACGTACGGAAGAATGCTCCTCCGGCCTCAAGTAAGGTCATTGGGAGGTGTCATTATTTATTATTAGACACTGTTTGGAGTTGTCATTACGCTGCACGGTCATTATGTCTTAGACACTAGCTAGTGCGCTGTTCGCATTCGGCTGCGGACCCAATCCCTCCGGGCTACCTGAAGTGCACACAGCTAAAGCGAGAGAGCGCATACGCGATCCCATTTTTTAAAGAATAATAATTTCCATTATTAATCATTGTACGATCGGCGTGTTCCGATAATAGAGTTACGCGCGCGAGAGAGAGTATGTGTGCGTCTGTATGTGTGTCTGTCTGTGTGACCAGGTAACAGCCATGTATAGGTGGATCTGCTAAATCAAGACTTAATTAGCCTGATGTACTGCAATGTACGGCCCCATTCCGCTGCGTCATTACTTATTGCATCATGCAAGGTAAAGACTTGCATGCAACTGCTCACGAGCAGCAGGTATATAGTCGCCGTTAGCAAAATTAAAATTTAAATCTCTCATTAAAATACACCGTTGATTGAAACGCACTATATTATGTACAGCAGAGACTACGATGTACACGTGCGCAGTGTACACACACACATACACATAGCCATCATGATTTGTGTATCGCCAATTGACGGTTCTCTTATCGCGGCCCAGATCAATTAATGCACCCATACATGCATCTGCAGAGTGCCGATGTTGCGGCGGCAGGGTGGGCCGTGAGCATCCCAAGTATATGCACGTGGCACGTTTGGGTAGCAAGGGTGAGCGGCAGTAACTTGCTGTGCAGCGGCACGAGCACATGCACAGGTGCAAGTGTGTGTAGGGGGGGGAACGTGTTGGAGGTCTTCCAGGCAGATGTGCTGCTGGCAATGGTGGACGCGGTGTGACAGGGGCTAGCGGCTGAGAAGCTGGGGTATGGAGGGCACACATACACGGGGGCGCGTGCGAGTTTTTATTATTTTCAGCTTACCAAAAAATCAGCTGCATGCTCGCCTTCCATATGCGCGCGTGCGGTCGCGACGCTGGGGCACCTGTATCTATTCCTACCTGCCCCTTCCTACCTTTCCAAAACATCATCACGCGCCATGTACGTGTGTGTTCAGAGCTCCAGAAATTTGCTGACCTGGCTACGTTGGGATTTTGGGCCTTTTGATAATTTAATACTCGATTCCAATACTTCTTCATTTATTTTAGTGTGGGATGGACATTCTGGCGCAAAGCTGAATGTACGTATGTATGTATGCTT